TAAAAGAGTCAACACATGAGAAAAAGAAAAAGGAATAATAAGTAAAGAGAAAAAAAGAAGACTAAAGAGAAAAGAGAAGTCAAGTATAAAGAAAGGAAAAAAGGCTAACTAGCAAGCAATAGAAGAAAAGAAAATAAAAATAAAAGAAAAAGAAAAGCATATAAAGAAAGAAGTTAGACAATTAACAGGCTTGTTATGAAAGGAGGAAGACCCTTTCATTATGGATTTTAAGTAGTTAGACAAGCAGCTTACTTTTGCTAGAAGTAATATAACAGGTTGTACTTAGGTGCTATTAGGGTAGCCAGGTGATGCTAGGCTTAGTTGTTAGGTAAATTTATGTAATTACAGTAGTAGTTTCAAAAATCTTAATAAAGCACTAGCATGACTGCTTAAAAAAAAAAAAATATATTGAAAATTACAGAAACAAATCTTATTAAAAAAGAAAGAAAGTTTTTAATATATGTTATAAACAAAAGATATATAAGTTACTAAGCAAGTATAGTAGAAAAAAAAGTATCAGATATAGAAATTTTAGTAGAAGAACAATAGAAAAAACATGTAAATGCTATTAAAAAGATAAGCAAATATATAATAAAAATCATACTATACTTCAAGTAACTAGAACTAGTAATAATAAAAATTTATATACTACCAAATAAAAAAGAAATAAAAAAAAGTATATAGCAAAAAATTGTAGAAATAGTCTCAAAAAGAAAAGACAAATACAAAATTGTTATTATAAATAATTTTAATCATATATTAAATAATATACTAAATAGACAGAACCTATAAGCAGCAAACTTCAAAAGATTACTAATCTTTAATTAAATAAAAAAGTAGAACTTTTGTGACATATATAGGAAAATGCATTTAATAAATCAAAAATATACATAATAAATGAAGAAGCTGTAGCAAAAATAAATTAAATATAAATATCAGCTACATTAGTCTCAAGCTTGCAAAAAACAGAGATCAAAGAAGTAAAAAAAGTTACAAAAAGTAATTATAAAATAATAATAGCAAAAATATATATTAAGTATATATTAGCAAAACAAAGATTAAGAGAAAAATACAATTAATTGCTGATCTGGCTAAGATCAGCAGAAATTTAGTATAGAAAATTAGGGTCTATATCTATAAGTAAAACATAAAAAATCTCAAGAACTCGAAAAGGCAAATATACAGAAAATCAATGATTCTTTGCATTTAGTCATGTAAAAATACAAAATAAGACCTACTGTAATGCTATCTAAAAAAAATATTAATTTGTTTTATTATTTAATAAGTTTATTATAGCTAGATCGTAGATTTCCATATAAGAATATGAATGATTTTTTATTGAATATACCATATTTATTACTCCATTTGAATGAAAATTTTTTATAAAGAACTTAGCAAACATTTTTTTTATTATTGCCAGTATTTAGGCATTGCAAAGTATAAATCCAAAAATCTTTTTTTTGCAATTTATTAATAATGGCAGTTGTAACTAAGAGTTAATTACATATTATAATAGGATCTCTACTAAAAGTACTAAGAATCTCTACTATAAAGTACTAAAAACCTTATGTTTAGTTATGATTAAACTTTGGATATATTATTTTTCTCCAAAAACTCTAATGCCATATTATGTTTAACGACTCAAGAAGTTCTTGTAATCCAATTAGCTATCATAGACACCTTTGGTATATCATGTTGCTAAATTTCTTTCTGATGAGCATGCCATAATAATTCAGCATGCATTTTCACAGTATTCATTTTTAATTTTGAATTTGTTATTCCAAAATGAAATATAACTCCTAAAAGTTCTTTTACTTGCTCAGTTAATCATTTTACTGATTCCTTTTGATTAACTTTTAGATTCTCTTAAAGGGCCCAACCCAAAACAAATTTCATATGACTAAAATTTAATGAAAATTATAAATAATCGAATACATCTAAACTATAAAAGGCAAGTAAATTTATATCTTCTAGATATAGATAAATTGTCTAGATACATATTAGATACATTTGTCGAATTGATTGAATCACTATTCATACCCTTTATCATATATATTTTATTATTGAAATTTAGGCTCAAATCAAATATGAAATAAATGTACCTTATTTTCTTCCTTTTCTGATTGTTTTTCTTCTAATAAAAAATAAAAAATAAAAAATCTGATATAAGATTATATTTATTTGAATATATATATAATAGTACCTTGAACAGAAATATGAGTAGTCCAAATTTTTGTGGGTTGTGAGTGTGTGATTGGAGATGAGTTTGGTTTTTCAAATATATGATTCTTGATAATTTTTTTTAATTGTAGAGAACTAAATTTATGCAAAGGACCAAAGCCTGATAAGGAACATGCATAAAGGTAGTCTGCATTTTCACCTGTTTCAGGCCATGTAAATTCATGCCATGTTGAGATTCCTGAAAGTGTTCTCAATTTTTTTGTCTATATATATTATTTAGAACAAACAATTATTATTAGAGGTTACTAACCAATTTTTCAAAGCTTAGATTATTTTTATTTAGGATGTTTTCAAGCAGCTCTCTCAATGTGATTTAAATGATTGGGATTATTACAATTAATTAGTAACAATATGCTGAAAATTCATTATACAAATTGTGAATTTTAAACTTTAGCTAATCAGGTTTGCTATTTTATTAATCGAGATAATAACTCTTCTGTTTAGTTTATTCAAATTCTCACCAATTAAAATTTTATTTCTGATCTATTGAGTGAGGTATTTGAGAATGCCTTTAGTTCCATTCAATAATATTTGATCTGATCTATAATAAAATTTAGTTTCTTTAAAATTGAACTGAAAAACTAGATTATTGATGTTCCTATACTTAATTTGATCTAACAACTGGCTTAGCCTACAATTTTGTTATTACAATTTCATTTAAGGGTTTGGTCAAAATCCTGAAAATTTAATTATTACTTACGTGATGCAATATTCAAAGCCTGCAATAATTAGTAATTATAAATTACTAATTATTAGTGGACTTTGAATATTGCATCATGTAAAGTGACTATTAAATTTTCAGAATTTTGACCCAAACTCCTTACTTAAAATTAAAGTTATATATCTAAATCATGATTGGGTTCAAGGTTAGCCACATGTGTTTCAGATAAGTTTTTTATTGCATTTTCTATATCTTGTCCTGATTCAATATTGTAATCTAACTTGATCCATCTTTTGATTGAATGTGTAATCTAGAAAATTATTATATATAAGCTTATATACATTATATCAGATAGGCTGTTCAATGTTAATTGGTTGTTTAACATCGCCATTTTAAATTTTTAGATGAGGGGGTAATTTAAATAAACACATTAAAATAAACACGATTATTCAGAACTTTTCAAAGAATTTTTATCTAAAATTTTTTTTCTCTCTTATTCTGCCTTATGATTGGCTTGTTTAATTTTGGGAAGACAGTGACCGAGAAGAGAGAGTGATATTAAACAACTAATCAACTTTGAATAGGCTAAATATAAATATAATTAAAAAACCTGAGCATAGTATGAGTCTATTGTAGATTTTGCTTCTTCTGCTTCAAGAAAAATCCATTTTTGTGGGTTAACATTATACCATTCTTTCCAATAACCCATAATTAGCATTAATTCTGTATTTCTATAATGTGGTCCATTATCTGATATGATAGTTATCCATTGTGATTTTGGATCAATAACTTCTATAACTGTATGGAGTGATGAAGCTGCAAACCAGATATCTTGGCGAGTACCATCAGACCAATAGTCAAAAGCTTGTATATTTAACATTCAATTCAATATATTTTTTTGATATACTAGAATGGTATATAAAGTCCATCCTTTTTTAACAAAAAATTCCTCTTTTGTTTCATATGCACTTTGGGGATTAATTTGCATTTTAAAATCTACAAGGAGTAGTGCTCCAATATGATCCAATAATTCAAGCCCAGCAGATAATTGTTTATTCAAATACGTCCTATATGCATGATGAGCCATAAAAGTGACCAATCGATTTTGATAATCTATTAAAGCCTTTTGTTGTTCTTTTCCTAATTTTTCTTATAATTGATTAAAAAATTCTAGAAGACTTTTACATTCTTTACATATATTGGGATGTGAATTATTACAGCTTCCAAATGCATATGAAAAACAATGACTAATACAGAAATTATGAATTGGAACATCTGACTTGTCTATTAGAAGATTTTTTGCATAATCTTTTCTTAGATATCTTTGTAAGTATTCCATAGTTTCAATTAATTTTTTCTATTTTATTTATCAAATAATTAATTAATAGATATATAATATAATTATTATAGTAAATATAAAAAAGATTTATACTCTGTCAACTGTATTTGCTATGTATCCATCAATTAGTGATCTGATATATTCAAACACTTCATAACTATATTCATTACATGCACTACAAAGTCCACTCATATTTTCTTTATATAGAAATCAGCCACTTTCTAAACGTGTCATGAAAGCAGTACGATGCATTCTATTTGGAAATTTTTCATGAAATTTTTTCCATAATCCTTTTTTTGTATCATGCAAATACAATACAGGTAAACCAGTTAAAGTTTCAGTTTTGTAACTACTTTGTGAAATATTATCTTTATGTATAAAAAATTGATCAAATTGTGTTAAACTTTCAGATAAAAATTGAACACAATGAATAACAGACATGATAAGTGGTGGTGCACTATATCTATTAGTTATTGCATATTTTCAAGATTCATCTACTGTATGCTTGCCAACCTTATAATTTAAATTTTTATTAAAATTTTAAAATTAAAATATTACTAATTTTAAATTATCTTACATTCAAATTAGTTTTTAATTTAGAGTAAGTAAAATCATTTGCAATAATAAATAATATATGCTATTTGCCATCAGAAGTTTTTTTATTATCTGAAAGAGCACGTTAAAAACAGGACCAGAATATTTGTGTAGTATTAGGCATATTCTTTGATATCAGTACTAAAAACCCCATTTTATATAAGTTTATAATATTTCTTTATCATTATTTGCTGAATTAGCATATGTCCAAATCTGAAACTAATAAAATTTTATTATAATAAATAATTTTTTGATTTAATTTACTGTTATATTCAATCTTTGATTACCTCTGATTCGTCAGATGGCCATGGAGTAATATTAAATCCACCTACAGCTCGTATTAAGGTTTTCCAAGCATTAAATTCTCTTTCACTAAACTGATAATGTGTTGGGTAGATTTTTTGTAAGCTAGTAACTAGCTCTATTGTTTCATTTTCATTTTGGGCCCAATTAATAAAGAACTGATACCATAAGATATCAGCAATTGTTCTTTATTTTAAGTAGTAATCAAAAAGTTTCTTCATAATATCATAATTATTCCAATTAACAAAAGTACAGGTAGTAACTTTATGTTAATTAATATATAGTTGAGTTGTTGAATTATTTAAACCAAAAAGTTGTGTGCCGGTAAAACTTTTTATACCAATTGGATACCAAACTTCATCAGAAGTTCGTTCCTTAATACATTTTATTAGTTGAAATTCTTGGTAAATTTCTAGAAGACAGTTTAAATCATTATCTATAGTTAAAACAAATAATGTGTGTTTTGAATTATGATCATGAATTAGTGATGATTTAAACTCAGATTCACCTTTACTAAGATTTTGACGTGATGACATGCCAATTCCAAATACAAAAATTTGCATTTTACTATTCAAAGAAAAAAAAAAGGATAAAATATAATATCAAATAAAAGTTGTAAAATAATTTTTTCATTTGTCCATCCAATTACAAGGGGTCCTGATACTCGGGTTTTGTTTTTAAATATATTAGTATATACCGTTGATATAGCAGTAATTGGATTAGCAACAATTTCTGAAATTATACTATTACAATAACATTAGTAGCCAGGTAAAAAAAAAGCAGAAGGATAGCCAACAGCTACTGTTACAATAAACTTTTGTTCATTAAGAATAATAGCAGTTTTTTGGCCAATACAGATTGGGAATAAAGAACCTTTTTTTTTTTTTGTATCATTTTCATATTACCAAAAACAAAAAAAAGATCCATAATGAAAGTTTTCATTAATTAAACCTGTGTCTAAAAGTGTAACAGCTACTTGACATTTTTTTTTTTGACATTAAAGTATAAAAGTTTTCAGATTCAAGCATTCATAGTAAAATAATTATAAATCTTATCCTATTTAATTAATATAAAATTTTATAAAATTATTGCCAATCTTAGCTGAATCAGTAATTAAGAACATTGTATTTGTATAATTAAACAAAACAGAAAATGGAGTGTAGCAACCTAGTGAAGTAGTCAGGTTGTCAACCCTTCAAATGGTAGGTTGGGTGTTCAAATCCTATTAATGGCAAAAATTTGGATAATCACCTATGTAATACTCATATTATAGCAACTGTTACTAATGATTGGGTTAGGATACCTGTAATGGTGATCGTATCAGCATGACTGGTAGGTCATGGGGCATTTGTGTAACAGGTCACATGACATTGTCCTTTGGAACAAGGTTATAGTTATATGAAGGAATGCAAACTGGCAATAGGCAGTACAAACACTAAATAAGTCTTTGTAGCCATGTAAATCTATTGAAATTGGGTAACAAGAAGTCTATTTGGGAAGACCTGAGTAGAAAGATAGCCAGATCTTTGACAGCCCTACTGTAAAGGCTAGCCCGGAGAAATGGATACCAAGGTCAAAGTAGCCAGATGGGCAAAAACCTTTAAGTAGGGGGTATTACCAACCAGGCCACCAGATCGAGCCAGAGGAAAAAGATATCAAGCCGATCTGATATATCAATGAACTGGTCATAAGTCCTACCAGGCTATCTGGATTGGAAGTTTGGTGAACCAGCAGGGGTATACTAAAGTATTTCAGATATGCTGTGAAGTAGATGCTGGGGTTTGTATGAACTCTACAAAGGTATAGCGGTTTAATGGTTAGCCCTAACTGCAAGTGTTGGTTCTGCTATAGTAATACCTAGGTTAGCTGTAAAAATGGATACAAAAGGCTCTGGGAGGTTTACCTCGAGGATAAATTAGTCCTAAGGTTGAGAACAATGATCTGATACATCTGAGATAACCAGTGATGTTAATACAGGCTACAGGTTCAGAGGGTTTAAAGTGAAACATCCAAACAGGGGTGTTAGGTACGACAATTGGTAGGGAACCTTTAAGCAGACTCCTTAAATAGATAATATAGAAAGTTATATATGTAGTCAATTATACACTCTCCTGTAGTAGTTCATTGAACCACAATATTGATAAATGATTAATAAAAGTCAAAAGACCAAAGAGGTTACCTTAATAAAAAAAAAAAAAAAACAAAACAGAAAACTAAAAAACTATATATAAGAATTACAAAAATGACTTGAAGTAAAAAAAGTTTTAAAAGATATCCAAAAAAAGAATAAGAAAAAAAAGTCAAACAGATAAAATAAATAATATATATAATATAATAAAAGAAGTAATTATTATAATAGCAAACAAATATATACTAAAAAAAATATATATAATACAATACAAGTAGAAGAAGTAATCAAAAAGGATAGCATTAAAAAAATATTATAAAACTACAAATATTAATTAGATATGCAAAAATAAAGAAAGACCAAAAAGTAGCAGAAAAAAATAAAATAAAACAAATAAATAAATAAAAATACTAAGCAAAAAAATAGGTGCAAAGTTACCAAAGCTACAAAAATAATAGTTAAATGCCTAGATAGAAAATATGAAAAGTTGACAAAAACTATTACAAGACAAGAAAAAAAAAAATAGAAACAAGTACAAAAAAGATAAATAAAAAAGAATATAAATAAAAGATATAAGATGATTAAGAAAAATTAAAGAAAAATAATTAGTCTTTTAAACAAACTTTACAAAAAAATTGTATTTAAGAGTAGAGGTAACATAGATTATTTGTTATATGATTTTTATAGCAAATAAAATTTTATATATAAAAAAAATATATTACTAATAAAACTTTTCAGTATTATATTCAATTGTTGCCAAAATTTAATAGTATATAAATCTATATTTTCTAATTATTTTGATAAAATTTTATAATTTATTTTATTTAAAAAAAAATACTTTATATATTACTAAGTTTGCCTGGATCAGCTTATGAGTTTTCTAGATTATACAAGATTTATATAGGAAATTCGTGTAATATAACCAAAATTTTATATGATATCATATGATTTGCTATAGAATTACTAGTAAAAATAATTTATATTACCCTACTCTTAAAAGGTTTGTTAAATAAGTAAAAGAAGTATACTTAGTAATAGAATTAGAAAAAACCAAAACAGATATAGCAAAACATTACAAAAGATAATTTAAAAAGAAAAGTATTAAACTAAAAAAAATATTAGAAGAATAAAAAAAAATATATAAGTTATAAAAAAGCATCAAAAAGAAATAATATACAGAAGTTAAAAAAAAAATAAAAGAGAAAAAATAAAAAAAGATACTAAGAGATTTGAAAATAGAAACAGCTCTTAATATATTAGATATAAGTAATATATAGTTAAATAAGCAAAAAAAAATATAAAAAATACTTAAAAAATTTACAGATCTATTTTTAAAAGCAGAAAAAATACCAACAAAATGAAAAATAGTACAAGTCTAGCTAATACCAAAAGATATAGAATAGAAATATAATTTAAATAATATTTAACCAATAGCACTAATTAAAACATTTAGAAAAATTATTACAAAAATAGTAACAAAAAAACTTGCCAAAGTATTTATAAAGAAAAAAATACTTAAAAACCAAACTATATAGGTCTTTTAAAAGACTCAACAAAACAACTAGTACATATTTTAAATATAATAATAAAAGATACTAAAGAGAAAAATAAGAAAATATGAATACTTCTACAAGATATAAAAAAAGCATTTGACTTAGTTTTATCTGAGAGCCTTAGACTAGTATTAAAAGAAGTCAAAATATCTGTAAAAACAATTAAATATATCTTGAACCTCTTTTATAAAAATAATTAAAGATAATCATAGTATATAGTTTAATAAAAAAAAAAATAGTATAAGATAAAATAAACTAAAAGAGCTAATATTACTATTAATATAGTATATATTTTATAATCAACTCTTGAAAAGAATACAAGAAAATAAAAATCTAGATTATATAGTAGAGCAACAAGTTAGAAAAGACATGCAATTCAACTACCTAGATTTCAAACTCTTCACACATCTACATCAGTACTAGCTTATATGGATGATACACTTTGAATAGCAAAAACAAAACAGGAACTAGAACAAATTACCCAAACTGTCTTATTCTTCTACCTAATGGCCAATATTCAAATTAATGCTACCAAATCTGTTTTCATTTCTAATTCATCTACATCTAATATTCAATTCTTTAACTCCACTTTAGAATCCATACTTGCTAGCCAACCATTTAAGTTTCTAGGTTGTTGGTTTACACTTAACAATAAACAAACTGAACAAATCAAAATCATTTGAGAAGAAACTCTTCAGCTTACAAACATTGCTAGTACAAAGAGAATTACAGATAAACAAATTATTTATATAATCAACACAGTTATTATACCCACACTCAAATATAGATTATATAACATTATTATGTCTCACTCAACATATAACAACATTCTTGCCAAATACTTGACAATAGCCAAATGCAAATCTCACCTAGCATACTCAATCCCCAATAGTACTATGCTTAACCTATACTTGTATAATATTTACAACATATGGGACATTCAACTTCAACACCACATTACTAACTTTCTATTACAACTTAATAATCCTAACTTATTAGAAACCTCAATACGAATCAGATTACAACAGCTCCAAAACAACCTATAGTCAACTATTAACATACTTTAACATCCTAATCATATTATTGATGGTCCAAATAAACATACACTGAACTTCAAAATTATCCAATTACTGAAACATTTAAACATATCTATAACAGCTAATTCCAATATTTCATAGCCAAACACCATATCATATAATCTTCAATCATTAGAATCAATTTTATCCCAACATCCTCAATATATTAGCTTTAAAAAACAAATCAGAAATCTCAATATTCTATATCTTGAACAGCTCAGCACAACTAACAATACTACTTTACTGAAGTGGAAGCATCTTTCATCACAACTGTCATACTTATCTAAAGGCTGAAAACCATTATGGTTCACATACTTAGAAGACACCATAATGGCTCACAATAGTTTCAGAATTCTTCTTTCACATTACTAACAACCAGAATATAATCCATTTGCATACAGTTTACAACATATCCCAAAAAAATCTAAACCCTAGTTACTTACATATGCTGACAATAAAATTATCATTGGCAAAATCTACAGACATTTCAAAAATACTAATCAAATATCTATTATACACTGGCAAACAAATATTAACATAAATCACTCTGACTACTACCCTCTTTTACCAACCCAAAGCTCACCTTGTCCAGGCTACTATTTAAACTCTAACAGAATTCAGAATTTATGTACAATTAATGTATCAGCTATTATTTCTTTCCAATTCCTAGAAAGAGTCAATTCTAATTTACTAAACTTCAATGCCAACTATATTGACTTTATTCATTCAACGGCTATTAAACATCCATTATTAATTCCTCCAATACCAACAATTCTAATTTTTAACTCCTATGTCTTTAAAATATT